CGTGTCTCCAAGTTCTTGCTTTCAAACTCTGTGGCATGAGCTGCAGTGAGGTTTCTCGTACTGGGAAGATTATCCACGGGCACCTGCTTTTCACAGGTGCTGGACAGTAGGATGTAAGGTGGTGCATCTCTTGTGCCTGTGTCCTCAAATGCAGTTTTGTCCTGCGTTTGACCTTTTTTTTATTGACCACTTCAGTCTTCCTATTCTTTTACACCAGTAGAAAGAAAATATCTTAGTCTGGTGTTGCAGGACCGTGTTTCCTTTTAATTCACCCAGAAGCTCAATGGTCATTTTTCCCTCCTAGGGGGACAGCGGGGGGTAAAGTGAAGGTTGTGGGGAAGGGGTTTCCCTCTAACACTGTTCCTCCTTGCAGCGCCGGTTCCTGTTTCCGTTCTTCGACTCGGCGTACCAAGGTTTTGCCTCTGGCAGCCTGGACAAGGATGCCTGGGCTGTGCGATACTTTGTCTCCGAGGGCTTTGAGCTCTTCTGTGCACAGTCGTTTTCCAAGAACTTTGGGCTCTACAGTGAGTGTCTGGCAGTAAGCTGGCCCAGTAGCATCATACCCAGACAGATGGGGCTGGCATGCTGGGGGGTGGGGAGAGCGCTGCCTTGCCATGATTTGTGCAACCAATGGCTCACGTCTCTTGGCTTGTCCACAGATGAACGTGTGGGGAACCTGACTGTGGTGGGGAAGGATGCAGACAACGTGCAGCGTGTGCTTTCCCAGATGGAGAAGATTGTGCGCACCACTTGGTCCAACCCTCCCTCCCAGGGAGCACGCATTGTGGCAACTACGCTTTCTTCCCCACAGCTCTTTGCCGAGTGGTACGTGTTGCCAGGGCTGGTGGGAGAGGGAAAGCGGGGGGAAGCCGTCTCCCTGAGTGCCAGGCTTGGCCAGATGGCTCCAAACCAGACAGGTGCCTGTCCTCACGCTCTGCTTCCTGCCTGCTGCAGGAAAGGCAATGTGAAGACGATGGCAGATCGGGTCTTGCTGATGCGGTCAGAGCTCCGGTCTCGACTGGAGTCTCTTGGGACCCCGGGTACCTGGAACCACATCACAGAGCAGATCGGCATGTTTAGCTTCACAGGGTTGAACCGTAAGTACAAGGTGGCCTGGTGAAAGGAGGATTGGGTGAGGACGGTTATGCTGGGGGTCGAACTGGGCTGAAGCAGTCCAGGCAGGAATCTCTCGGGGACCTTACTGGTGTCCTGGCATCACTGCCTCTGTGGCTAGGCAGGGATGAAGCACCAGACAGCATTTTAGTGGCCAGTGCTCGAAGTTTTCTGCTTGTTGTGAAAGATTCAAGCAGCCTCGACTGGTTCTTTGGGCTTTTCTGAGCTGTGGGGTCATGGCTCTGACCTGATGTCCAATTTTTTCCCCAGCCAAGCAGGTGGAGTACATGATCAAGGAAAAACACATCTACCTGATGGCTAGTGGGCGCATCAACATGTGTGGCCTGACTACCAAGAACCTGGACTATGTGGCCAAGTCCATCCATGAAGCCGTCACAAAAATCCAGTGAAGCACATGAACAACCAAACTTACATGAAGTCACCAAAGCTGTAGTGTGTAGTCCGTGTCTTTCCCTGCTCATGGCTTGCCTTGTCCCACACCTCTTGGGGTTTAATAAAGGTGGGAGCGGTAGCTGAATCGGGGATAATCATCTTTTGTCCTTTTTGAAGTACTCCTTGCAATATAGTAAGCCAGTGCCCCCAGGAGGGTGGGGGCAGCATGAGCTGCCTTGGCTCTTGTTTGACTGACAGCAGCCTGGTCTTCAGGTGCTTAGAGCTGCATCTTTAGCACATCCAAATCGACTCCATGTAACTGATCAGTTTGATCTAGGTGAAGTCTGGTGCTGGTGCAATGTGCTGTGGGATAACAGGCCAGTCGGTTGGGATCTTTTACGGCTTGTGAACTAATGTCACTTGGTAGTATTTTGGGGAGGGGCAAAGCTGTTGCTGGCTTCCCCCTGCCCTGAGTTCTGAGCCTTATGCGAGCAAACATTCGTAATTGTGATAATTGCTTCTTTGTGTTGCTGACAGAAAATTAAACCTTCATCTCTGAACACTACCCCCGCCTTGTGTGATGAGCCTTCAGCCTGCGCTAACCTTTTCCCAGGCTGAGGTTAAAGCCTCAGCCTCCTGGTTTGTCCACTGGGTCTTACTCAGTTTGTTTCAAGGCCTTCCCTTTCTCCCTCATGGTGTGTTGCATCTCTGATGGTCGTGGTTGCTACTAATGGGGCACAGTTCTATTGGGAGAGTGTAGCTAAGAGCTCCTTGTGGCTCTATGTGAAGCTGACCAGTTCCTCCCACATCCGTCTTGCGTTCCTCTTTCTGTCCCCCTGCCCTGTGCTGTCCAGCTCATCCTGTCCATCTGTATGTGCTTGCTTTCTGGATGGTCATGTGTTACCCGGCCATCTGGCTACCTCTCCCTGGCCCAGAGCTCCTGGCCTGCTGCTCATGTGTCGAAAAGCAGATCTTTCCTGTTCCTCCTTCTCAGCAGGCCCCTGGTGAACTGCCACCTACTCCCCCTGGCTTCAGTGGGACCTGCCAGCAACAGCGTGTGTTTCTGGCACTGAAAAAGAGCTGGGACCATCTGCTTCTGCTCTCTGCAGTCACTGTTTGCAGATCTATTTGTGAGCTGATATCACCACCTTGACAGAGCAGCCTCCTGCCAAGGTCTTGGTGAAGAAAGGGGAACAGCCCCTTTCCTTGAGTCAGTTAGCAATACCCACTGTTGCCCTGATGGATTTTGCTTGTGCTGCAGCTTAGACAGTAAAGGTGAAAATGGTGCTTTGTTCCTGTGTTGTGTTTGCAGAGAGACAGTGCACGGGTCTCATTTGTCCTTTTCAGATTAGTGTTCATGTCACATAGGAGAGTGAGGCAGAGGCAGCCTTTCCTCTGTGCAGGTGCAGAGCTTTTTGTCCTCTTGGTGCCCACCTGCAGCTGGGATGATGGGGTAGTGGTTGTTAAAGGATGACTTCTAGGGGTGATCTCAGGAGAAGGAGTTGAAGAAATCAACTCTGCCTTTGTTATTTCTGACATTTGCTTACACTTCTGTCCTTGCAGACCTCTAGGTGTGGAGCCTGGCTTACCCCCCGCCATGTGATCTGTACCAGTGCTTTGCTAGCCTTACCAGCCTTGTTTTTCCTAACGAGTGACCTAAATTTCTCCTTTTCTGCGGTGTAAGCTCATTACCCATTATCCCATTTACCATGGCAACAGAGAACAGATTATTCCTTTCCTCTTTGCAACAGCTTTTTATGTATTTGAAAACTTCCTCTCTCCCCTTCACATCCTTCACGAGTTAAGATTAAGCGACCCTGTTTCCTTCAGCCTTTGGGGTAGGTTGTTTTCCAGCCCTTGCTTTCCTCTGGCCTCCTTTCAATTGCTGTGTGTTTCCTTAGAAGGGCAGTGCCCAGACAGGGATGCAGTTACTCCAGCTGAAGTTTTATCAGCATTGGTGGACTATGAGATTTCTATCGTTATCTGTCAGGCTGTACTCCAGCATGTGTATCCCACTATTGTGTTTGCAATGGCAGGATATTAACTCCTGTTCTTCCCCAGTCCTTGTCTGCACTGCTATAGTGTAACTCTGCACCGCTCCTGGCAGCAAGTGACAGGGAGCCCAGGTTTACAGGGAGAAGTTGGGAAGCACTTGCTGACCTGGTCCTCCACCTGCTCCCTTCAGCAATTCTGAGTCCTGTTATGCCAGGCACCTCTGGCCGCAGGTATGAGGGCAGCCTGGCCTGGTGGGAGAGGTTAGCATGTCTTTCCCTATACCCATTGACACAGACAGGGCATCACTCAGGGAGAAATCACTTTTAATGTTAATATCCCCGTTGCGTTCAGCCTCTACAAAAACTACTGACTGGTCTGTACCAACCCAAAGGCTCAGCGCGAGCCTCCCTCGCACAGGCAGCCATGTGCGGAGAGGAGGATGGTTCGATGCAGCATGGAGCGGCCCTCCCCAGGGAGGGGGGCTGCGCTTGGCGGTGAGCTGGGCTCCCTGCCCTGTGCCTAGCAGGGGTTCGGGAGTGCTGGGCTGTGTCGATGGTCAGCGTGCGCAAGGTGCTGCGAGTATGCACGTCACTAGGCATGGCACAAACGCGTGCTGGGGCCCTGAGCTGTATGTGGCACCCCCCAAACAGCACGTTCTCCTCATGGCGGAGACCGCATCTGTGCAGCACCCAGCACCAAGGGGCTCCAGGCCTTGCTGGGATGGGGATGGTAAATGATGCTAAGGGCAGTTCTGGGTTGGGCCGCCCCTCCCTGCTCTGCCCGCAGGGACGTCGTGCCAGACGCTTCTCTACCTTTCCTTTTTCCACCTCTTCCTTGAGACCAGTTGCTACCAGGGAGCAGCTGGGCAAGGGCCCTTGGACTCCAGCTAGCTGGTCCAGGCCGCCTGGGTGGTTCAGCCCCGCCGGGGGCACATCGTTTCTCGCCTGGGGATGGGGCTCTGCGCAAGTCCTGCAGGGGAGGGGCGGCACGAGCGGGCAGGCGGGTGGGCAGGCAGGCAGCGAGCAAGTGCAGACCTGCTGCTGTTGAACGTGAGCCTCGCGGCAGGAGACCCCCATGCTGCAGACCTGGAAGACACAAGCGCAGCCTGGTACAGGCGGCCAGAGCTTGCCCTCCCTGACCTGCTGCTGCTCAAGCCTGCAGCACCTTTCCTAGCCAGACTTAGGGATATTGGTGCAGACACATGTTTCTAGCTGCAAAAACATGAGTCAGGGTCTCGCTCTGTCTCCAACATCCATTCCTGCCCCAAGGATGGTTGGAGTCTGCTGCTACATCCCTTGAGACTGCTCCAGCCCCCAACGACATGTGTACCTGCATGGGCTCCAAGCCACATTGTTTGGCTTTGCTGCTTGAAACTTGATTTTATGCTATTAAAATTGAGCAACTTCCCATTTGCTGGGGAAGGAATATTGCACCAAGAGGCAGGTTCCTACCTCCAGTCTGCATGGGCCTCCAGCACTGTGCTCTGGCCACGCTGCTGCTCAGGTGATTAATGGGGCGAGATTGGAGCTCTCCTCTGGCGTCTTCTCTTCCTCCGGTGATGACCGTGACTTGCGCCCACCTGCAGCAGCAAAGGTGCCTAGGGCTGGGGTGCTGGGGGCCAAGGGTGCTCAGGATGGGGGGGTGCATAGAGTTGGGCTGGGACCAGGTGGCTGGCTCTGCCTGAGCTAGCCCTAGGTGCAGTTTTTGCCTGCTGCTGGGGTACTGCCAGGGAACTGGGCTGCCCCCCTGCTCCAAGCCAGCCCCATGCAGGGTGTCCCCAGGACGGGGCTGGGGAGCAGCTGACCTGGCCAGCGGGGTGCTGGGGCAGAGCTCTCCCCCTGGGTGCTCCCTCCCTGGGTCAGTCACTCACTGAGGGATCTCAGCAGCCTCCTGCCCAGCGTCTCCTCGGAGCTAATTGGCGACGAGCTGGTGCTGGCCTCTTTCCCCAGGGACTCTGCCTCCAGGACAGTGCCACAGCACTCACTGTCTGCAAAAGCCCAGCGTGGCTGTAGTGTCCCAAGGCACCGCAGCCCTCGCCACCCCCAGGGTCATGTGTGTGTGCGTGCCCTGGCCATGCTCACTCTGCCGCTTGCTGTTCTCCTCGTTGTCAGCCAGCTCCTCCTGGATGAAGGGGATGCCCTCCATGCGCAGGAACACCGACTCGCTGGGACTGCGCAGCCCCTCAGAGCGGCAGCCTGCAGGGACACAGGGCAGGCATGGCAGCAGGGTGGCGAGGTGCTGTGCCCTGGAGCAGGACGCAGCAGGACGCCAGCCACGACAGCGGGTCCCAGTGCCAGGGACCCCCAGGGAACACGAGCGCGTGGCAATGAGGAATTACACGCCTGCACACTTGCACCTGTGTGTGTGTGTGCAGGCACAGAACAGCATCCACAGGTGTGTGTGTGCAAACGCCCACGTGCCCCAGTCCATGTGCAACTGTGTCTCTGCGGTGGCATGCTTGTCATGCCAGTGGGTCCCCGCACGGCCCTCCCGGGGGACGTGTGGTGTTGGCTTGTGGTAGGGAAGGGATGCTGCTGGGTGACTCACACATGATGCTGTTCCTCTCATTCAGGAGAGTGGTGGGGTCCTCCTTGGGCGTCTGTGGGGTTCCCCGCGTGGTCGAGGCCTTGGTTGAATCCCTGTCGAAGACCTCCATGTCGGGGGACTGCGGCGAGCTGTCCATGCGGCTGGCCACCAACGCGTTGTGGTACTGCTGCCGGGTGACCTGGGCACACAGACATGCATGCCCAGCTCAGTGGGCACCAAGCCCCACTGGGACCTCCCGGTGACTTAATGGCACCAAACCCCTGGACAGCAGGAGTGCGGGACTCCCCAGCACCCACTGGGCACCCACCAGGCTCCCGGGGCAGAGCAGAGCGAGAGGGTGCCTGGGCAGGGGGTGGCTGGGGTGGGACAGTCCCTGCCAGCTCCGCGGTACCTTGACAAACTGCACGTCGCAGAGGATGTGCACAGAGTAGTCAGGTGTGTAGATGTTGTTGCTGCTGCTATGGAGCTGCGTGGTGCTGCCCCCGTAGTCGTTGTGCTCCCGGTTGGGGGACTCGGAGCGGTTGAGCCCGCTGCACCGCGACGGTGACCTGTTCACTGCGGGACGGGACGGCAGAGAGGCAAACACTCACTCTCATTCGTGGTGCCGCTCGGGTCCCTGGTGCCGGCGCAGGGCCAGGGTGGACCGGTCACCTCTGGCGGCTGTGCCCCACGAACACCAGGGCTGGCAGGGGCCCTACAGGGACCTGCAGTGGGGGGGGGCTTCCTCGGTGCATGCTGGCGGCAGAGGCTCTGTGCCGTGCCAGCCCCACGCAAAACAAAGGGACCGGGCAGGCAGGCATCCGACCTGGCACCGGCAGCAGAGGTTAGGGCTGCTGCCTGCCACCTGCCCATCACATTGACTGACTGACAGCTCTCCTGCTAACACAGGCCTTCTGCATGGCATTTGGCACAAATTCTCCTGGTTGCAGCTGGCAGCCCACAGGGTTTACTTAACCTGCCTCGAGGGCACGCTCCTGTCCACCCTGACTCTGACAGAACAGGAGCAGAGGCTGCCACAGCAAGCTGGCCCGTCACTCATGTTGACTGATGGCCTCTGACATACGGCATGATGGATTTTGTCTGGTCAGTGATTTATTAGGGAACAAAGGCAGCTTGTTCCTTACATGGGTGACGTCAACATCTTGCTGACTTTGCTCTGCTGCTAAAACGCCCTTCTATTACCCGGATTGCCAGAAAGCAAGCGAAGTAGAGCAGCGTGCATGCAGGGCTGCGGATAACCATTGTCAGAAGCAGCAACTGGCAAGAAAACGCAAGCACCGAGTGCAGGAAGTTACAGAACTGCGCACCAAAAGCCCGAGCTGTCCATGGCTCCTCCTTACCCGCATCCTGTTCTTCCCAGGGTTTGCATCTTACTAGGGAGGCTGCAGCAGGGACAGGGCTGCTGTCCCCCGTCTGCCACCCGTGCTCCAACTAGCGAGGGGCTGCCTGGAGTGGGGTTCCCTGGGTGCTTCTCTCTGGGTGCTGCCCGGCATGCAGGGTGGAGGGGGCTTGGTGCACCGTGCACAGGGAGCTGGAAAGAGCCTGGCACATGCAGAGGTCCCTTCCCAAAACCATGCCCGTTACCTGGAGAGCCAGCCAGGGAGTCCCCTCTGCTGAAGGCAAAGGTACGGGACACTGAGACTGGCACTGCAGAGAGAAAGGGAGGAGGAAGGAAGGAGGGGATGGGGGAAGGCGAGAGACAGAGGTGAGGGTGGGAGACAGACCAAGAGGAAGAATGAGAAAAAGAATCATGTGCCAGCAGCCCAGGGCTGGGCTCCCACCACTGCCTCCAGTATCCCTTCCCACCCCTCTTATACCCTCCTGCTTCTGCTCTGCAGAGGCACTTGCCAGCTGCAGGGACCAGGACACTGGCAGGGACACCAACTTGAATGCTGTAAATCAACAGGCTGCTCTGTGATGAGGTAAGAGGAGGTGAGGCTGGGGGGGACCAGCTCCTGCCAGGGCTGTCTGCACAGCCACACATCTTAGAGCCACGGTGAGGGCAGAAAGCATCTTCCTCCCATCAGCTGAGTGCTGGCACCCTGCTCCAGCCTGTCGCCAGCTGCTGCCAGGGGACTTTGTGGTCAGCTTGTGCCACCTGGGAGATGGGTGGAAGCTAAATTAAGTCACTGCGCTTGGCATCTGGGATGCTTCTGTGTGTGCAGGCAGGTGGCGGAGAGGGAATGTGGTCTGCAACAGCTCGCACCTCCACACAGCCCCACAGCTGCAGGCAGGGGTTGGCAGGAGCCCCTCAGCATGATGCAAAGCAAAGGCATTCATGCCCAGCTGCCTGCAGCTCCCCGCAAGGCCCTGGATCTCAACAGACTCGGGGCGATGCTGAGAAGAGTCCTCCACCGGGAGCTGCTCCATGTGGAAACCACAGGAAGCCAGGATCCCGTGTCCCGCGGTGCCTGACAGGCACACAGACAGGGCAAATCCCTGGACATTCACTTTCCACGTTTTATTGCCATGGGTTACAGCAGCAGTGACAATTTCAAGGGCAGGCATTCCCCCTCTCTGTGACTCACTGCCTGCAGGGAGCTGCCCTGTTGCCCTCCACAGCACCCCTGGGCCATGCCACAGGGGTGCAGGGCTCCACGGGGAACATGGAGAGACTGGCACACAGCGTGAGCGATGCACTTGTTAACACCTCCTCGTGCCTCATCTTTCCTCTCACTGCTGGCAGCGTCCACCTCGAAAGCAGTGGGAGATCTGAGCCCACTGGCTGCCAGTGCCCTCCTCCAGGCATGGCCACGCTTTCCCCAGCTGCCGGCCCTCCTGCTTGGGGCGGCACTGCCCTCCCTCCAGCCACTGCGCCCGCAGTGTGGCTGCAACGCTCTGGGAGCTGTCTGCTGCCTATGTGATTAGTGTTTTTAAATTGCTTCGAAGGTAAAACCTCCAGGAAATTTGCCCTGCAGCCCCCTCCTTCTGATCTCCCTGCTCCTCGCCCAGTAACTCCTGTTCCATGTCCTCCCCTGGATCGAAACCTTCTGCAAATAGAAGTCCAAGCAAAGGCACCAGCACGGAGCGCTGCCCAGAACAACTTCATCCAGCTGGGAGCAAAGGACGGGTTGATAACCACTAGCACTCTGTCGTGGTTTAACCCCAGCCAGCTCCCTGCTCTCACTGCCCGACCCACCACGGGGCTGGCTGTACCGGGTCTCTGCCGCTGCACCCCTGCCCCGGCCGCCAATGCCAAAGATCGCCTGGCGATAAAAAGGTTGCATAACAATGGTTAATTAATAACAAATTGTTAAATGCTGAAGGGTTAACGTCTGAATTCTCTGCTGCAACACACTACTTGCACTCATTTCTGCTGGGCTTTGCTTCAAGGAGGAAGGAGGCCACCAGCCCAACAAGGGAGATGCCCCGCGACCTCTGCCTCCCACCCGGCCTCCTTGCTGGCCAGGGGTGCAGCACCGCACACGTCCTGCGTCCTGTGGCAGGCAGGGTGGCAGAAAACATCTTGTGACACAGCATCACACGCAAGCACGGAGAGCAAAGGAGCCCTGAGCAGCAGCATCCCGGCAGGCAGCACTGTGGACACGCGTGGCCGCACCGACACGGCTCCCACCGTGGCTCGTGCCCTGCCTGTCCCGTGGCCCACAGGCAGTACTCACTGCCTGAGCCCCAGCAGGGCCCTGGGGATGGTCACCGAGGGCACGGGGGCATCAGGCCATGCAGCAACGTCCCAGGGGAAACAGGACACTATTTATTCCCTCTCTCCAAACCAAGCACAAGGGAGCAGGAATGCACACTGCAGGGTTAATCCAGCAGCCTACGAGCCAGCCTTTCGAATGGAAGAAAAGCAGGCAGCAAGAAATAGGTGAGCCTTAGAGCTGCACGCAGACTGGAACGCATGGGAGTGACAGTCACCTGCCCCAAGGGACTCTCCCTCTTCTCTCCGTGACAACTCTCCCTACACCTCCCTAAAGGTTGAACTTAGCGGGTTCTTGTTTTGATTAGGCACCCAGCGCATCCTCGGCTTACCATCAGCACTGCAACATCTGGGGCTTGGGATGACGGATGTGCCGGACTGGGGGTGGGCAGCACCTCTGCCTGCTCCCAAGCCACCAGGCACTACATGTTTGCAGGGGTGATCAGCAAAGAAGGCGGGGGGGGCTCACAGTCTCCCCTGATCAGAGCTCCCTCTTAACTCTTGCAAGCAGGGGATCTGCTCATTAACCCATCAGCTCTACAGGCAGGGAATTTATCGGGACCGGGACATCTACTTCTAACTCAGCTAATTTCCACCACCACCATGTGCGAACAGCTCATAAGTAAATTGACCCATCTCTGCAATTCCCGAGCAGCCCCTGTTCCCCCGGCGTGGGACCCGTGTTCAGCCTGTGCTCCAAGCCTCGCGAACAGGAACGGGTCCAGAGATGTTACGCTGAGACCTAGATGCACCGTGCCAGAAGTCACAGGGCTTACTGCTCCCATCTGCGTGGGCATGCTGCCGCCTGTGGGCAGTGCCCCTTGCAGTGCCCCTTGCAGTGCCAGCCGTGCTGGGATCCACCCACAGGGATCCAGCACATGGCTGAAACCTCAAAGGGACTTCAAAGGGACCTCAAAGGGAACTCCAAGTCCCTCTGCGGGGACTCTGCTGCATTGGTCCCTCAGCATGTTGTTTCTCCACCGAGGTTTTTAAAGGGGGTGATCTGAGCGCGGAGTCTGAGCTGCTCTGTGCGGGATGCAAACCCATCCCTCCTCCAGCCGGCCAGTGCCACAGAAGAGAGATTTTAGAGCCCCAGCCTGTCCCAAAATACTTACACAGGAAAGAGGATCCAGCCAGGCTGCCCACTTTCCGCACGTCGTTATCTGTAATGACAGTTGGAGGTGTAGGAATCACAGAGGAAGGGCTTCCACCTGCCCCGCGCCCCATAGCAGGGCCACCCCACCCCACGGCCAGCCCCTTCTCCTAGCCACCAGCTGGCTTAGCCCTGTGGAGGCTGCAGAAGCGAAGGCAGGGCCAGAGGGAGCCCGCAGAGCCTTTACCTGAGGAGATGACAGCCATGATGGCAGGGACACCGTAGTAGGTGAATGCCCCATTCTCAAACCGCAGCCCTTCCTTGCCAACCTCCACCTCCACTTTCCCCTGGAAGGAAAAGGAAAACCCACTCAGACAGGCACCCTGTGCTCCTGGCCACCGACCCACCCAGGGCTGCAGGGACCCCTGCCGCCCCGTATGAGAAGACGGGCATCTCTGCTGGCAGAAGTAGCCCAGAGCAAGGTGGCAAGGAGAGACAGGCCACCCTCTGCTTGCCACTGCCCCAGGCACCTGCAGGATGAGGATGAAGTAGTCAACGGGGCGGTTGCGCTGGTAGAGGTAATGCTCCGCCGCCTTCTTGTTCTTTCGGTCGTACTTGAGCTCCTGGATGACATTGGGGTGTTTCAGGAGCCGCAGCAGGATCTTCTCGGAGAGGTAGGGGGACTTGAAAGGCTCTACTTCTAGAGGGGAGGCAACACACAGTCACTCAGTGGGGTCAAGGCTGCCGGGAACCCCTCATCTTGAGCTGCACAGCCTCAGCCTCACCACCCCACTGCACTGAGGGGACCCAAACACAGACCCATGATGGTGGAGCAGCAGGATGCCCAGGGTGGGGGGGGGTCCAGGCAGGTGGGAACTGCTCGCTGATGGGGGAAGACCAACCCAGGAACAGCTCAGGGATGTCCTGCAAGGCTGGTGCTGCTGCAGGGAGATGCAGGGCTTGCACAAGGGCAAGGGTACCTGTTGCCATGAACCGATGCGTAGCCAGGAGGAGCTGTGGGGAGATCTTCACCTTCATCTCGCTGTCTGAGAGCCTGAAGATGGAGAAGTCCTGGGGCTTGCGTCCCCGGTGGGGCACCCGCTCCTTCTTCCGATTGTCTGCTGCAGGGCAGAGAGCAGAGCGGTCGCCTGCCTGCAGCAGCCACAAAGCCACTGCAGCTGCAGAGCCCCATACCACATGCACATGTATATAGAGGCATGTCTTGCTGCACCCTACGGCAGGGCTGCTGTGGAGCAGCAGCCAGTTCAGCAAGGTGCACAAAAAGTGCCATGCATGACAGCCTTGGGGTGGAGGGAGGGAGCAGGATGGTGGAACACGCTTCCTTCTCAGGAGCACATCCTGGGTTGCCCTGGCTAGATGCATCACCTGAGCTGGAAAGGAGCTTGGGAACCACCCATGGGCACTTCATGGCCAACACATGCGTCCCTGGGTCAGACCCTGCCCCACCACCGGCTGCTGATGCTGGTGCTTCTCTTATCTGGAGCATTCAAGACTCCCTGACATCTGACCAGCATCTCTCCATCACTCTTGTTTTTCCCACCATGACTTTGAATTGCTCTGGGGAAGGACCACGATTTGTTCTGGCCTGTTTCCTACCCACATGTCTGTCTGTCTGTGCGGGCTCCCACCCTGGCTCCTGCAACCGCAGTAGCTGCTCTGGGACACTAACTGTACAGATCCGTCTCATCCAGGATCTCGGACTTGATGATCTCCTCAATGACATCCTCCAGGGTGACAATGCCCATCACCTCGTAGAACGGGTCTCCTTCCCCTTCATTGTTCACCCGCTGCACGATGGCCAGGTGGGACTTTCCTGCGAGGGGAGAGCAGAGCGGCAGTGAGACCCCCACCCCAGAAGAGAGGGGTCCCCCAGCACGGCGGGCGGGCAGGCGGACAGGGCTCGGTGGTAGGCACAGATCACAGCCAAACCTCAGAAGCAGCCACTATCGCCCAAACCCACCCCAACCGCACTAACCCAAGGAGAAGGGCTGGACACACAGCCCAGTCTAACAGGGCTGCTACTCCCCAGGCTGATTTCTAGGTGTCATGGGACTCTGCCTGGCTCTTTTTTGGGGCCGCTTGCTTTCTTTACCCAGGCAATCTGCTGCGAGTCAGTCTGTTTAGCTCTTTGACAGCCTCCTGTGCAGGAATGAAGTGTACGTTATACCAGCTGCTTCTTGCTTACCCTCAGCTTCACTGGCATGACAAAACTCTTAACAGAGCAATGAGACAGTGTCCTCCAACACAGAAATGTGAGCATGTCCTTGGGCTTTACTGGCTTCCCTCATCCTCCTGGTGTTTTCTCATTCTGTTGTTAATTATCTTTCCTATCAAACTGCCAGGAACAGCTCCCCCACATCTTTCTATCCATCACTGTCTGGACTGATCCTAAAGCTTTTCTTAAAATACAGGCAAAGCCTCCAGCTCCTTGGAACGGCAGCTGGTTTTAATGCAGAAATGCGTATGTTTGTTTGCAGCTTTCAGCCCAGCTCCTGCAGAACTCTTGGGTGAACCATCTGGATGCAGAGGCTGAATGCTTTTCAAGCCATCAGCTTGCACCTGAACGTCTTCTCCAACCCCTGCCCCTGACAGCCCCTCCTCTCCGTTACCTTAAACAAGCAGACCGGGACCAGGACCTTTAGCTGCAATGATAGTGACTCCTGCTTGGAAGTCGCAGTGTTTCTCAATCACAGTTTCAGTTTCCTCACTTGCCCCAGTAAGCTGGCAGCTCTGCTGACACATTCTCAGGCTTCTTGCTTTTGGCATACTTGAAACATCGCTATTTGTTTTTGCACGTCCAGCTCTCTGTAAGCTGTTTTGACTTCTTCAACTTCTCCCTTCCTTTACTGTCTGCTCTGATTTATGCTCCTGCTCAGCAGCTTGACCAGAACCCAACTTCCAAGCCACAAACAACTTCTGGGTTTCTAGCTCCAATGTATTCTTGGATCTGCCAATGAACAGCACTGGCTTTCTTACTGCCCCTGTGGCTCCTACGCTGCTCAGCAGTGCACACAGGTTCTGAACCTCTAGTTTTACTTAAAATGTTAAAAATGTCCTTCATCAGTCCCACAGCCAACAATTTCGCCTCCCTCTGTTTGCTCTGCATCCCTGGGGTCTCCTGTTGCAATGCCTACACAAACCCAACTGTACCGTGGGCACTGCAGGGACCTCCAGAAACCTAAGACACCTTATTTTCCCCACAGGCCCAGAGCTGAAGTCCTTGAACAGCAACAGTCACCCAAAAGGGGGGCAGGTCCCTTCTGCTATGCAGCTGCTTCTGCATCTGCTTCTCCCATAAACCCTCCCTGACAAACTCGCCTGCTGCTCTGGGTGAGGGGATGGGAACAGTGTTTATGTATAAAGATGCAATAGGGGTGGGCTCCTGCCTGCTGCACAGCTCCCTCCTCACCCGCTGGTGCCTTCTGGCTCATCCCCACAAAGGGACAGGGATGAACGCATCCAGGGCAGCCCAGCAATCCCATCAAACACATCTTGCTGGGGACCACGCGACCTTCAAATAACCCTGCCCTGGATCTGAGATGAGCAAATGATATTTCTCAGCCGAAGATCAGTACTATATATTTCTCACAGCAAAGCTTGGGCATTTTCCACAGTATAAATTCCCTCCTCCTCATACCAAGCTTTTATTGCAAGATTTCAGAGAGCAGCTCGCTGCCTCCCACGCCTACGGAATTAGAACATAACATCGCAGCAAGTAGCACTGAGATGCACTTTAAAAAAACCAAATCAATAGCCTCGGGGCATTGAAAATTCAGCATGTTCTTTGGACCGGGCTATTTCACTCCTTTTCGTACATGGGTTTGTGCATCTTGTCTGTTCAGTGGGTAATAAAGCAACATGACTTGAGACTTAAAAAGAGAAAAGCAGCAGAGTTGGCCGCAAGACAGCAGCAACAGCTACGTTTCATCTTAGCAAAGTCCAACTTTTGAAAATGTCTCCTTTGCCAAACCCCGCTCCCAAACACTGGGGCCATCTGGTCTCCTACAAGTCCTCGGGTGAGCGAGGAGAGGGGGGAAGTTATTTCTTTTGGCCGAAAGCTTGTTGTTAATGACATTTACATGCAACCCAAAACCACCGAGCCCTTACAAAAAGCTTAGGTGCTACTTAAAGGCAGTCAGTGAGTAATGGAGGCAATTCTTTTTTGGCCAAACACCTACATCAACACTGTAATTTACTCTAGAGCAGCCTCAGAGAAATGTGATTCCAGCTCCATGTTCACGTAGCGACAAATGAGATTATTTAGAAATAACCCAGCACTGTTAGTCTGGGAGGAGACCCACAGTTTCACTACACTGGGGGCAGAGCCAGGAGGGCTGTTAGAGTGCTCAAGAGTTCTTTATTTTCACAGAAAATAAACACTTGTAGCCACACCATAAACCCCCAGGTTTAGGTTTCCAGGCTAACATCCACATTAGAGATAGAGCAGGTACCCAGCAATGGAAAATTGTTGCAATTCATGTGGTTGCTCCTGGCCCACACCAACTGAGCCGATCCTAGCCCCTGCCTGGCCAGCTGATCACAAAACACCCCAAAACCCACTCCCATCCCTTGCAGAGCTGGGTGCAAATGACTGCTGCTCCAGCTGGCCCCCACTGGGAAAGGGCTGACTTGCCCGGATTTCCCACCTGAGGGACAGGAGATCGTTTGCTAAGTCCTGCCCCCCAACCTGAGTCTCCTCCCATCACTTTTTTAACAGACCCTATAAATTTGACAGTGGGGAGGGAGGGTTTGTAGATGTCCTGCCTGTATGGTCATGGCTTGTTCCCTCATGGATTGGGGATGCTGCCATGCTTGCCCAGAGTAAAAGCAGTGGCATTTGGAGCAGGTATGAGGGCAGAAGCTGGGCTATTTTATGAGGTGGAAGCAATGTCCAAGGGAGGGTGGCACAAGGACAGACCCAAGGATATCGGGGTGGGACGGGAGGGTGTCATGTTCTCTTCTTGAGCTGTTACACTGCAGGTCTGCCTCAGTGGGAGTACAATAGAGAGAGATAGATCATTTAAACAAAACCCCAAACTTGATCTAAACCAGCTTTAAGATCTGTGAAACTGATTCAAAAATCTGAGCTATTGTAACCATTGCTTGATAGCTCAAACGAAATGAATTATAAGGGTGAGCTGCTTCCCCACTAGCAAGCTGTCACATGTGAATTTTACAGAGCTATCACTGATGCAGGAAAGCACAGTGAAACACTGGAGAATCAAAGCCTTGGTTTGGCAAATGCTAGAACAAATGGGCAATTAACTTCACTTTTGTGAATAGCTCCACTGGCCTCCGCAGGACTGCTCTCGCTCAGGAAGTCTATAGGTGATTAAGTGTCTGCTCAGCATGGGATACAACTGTACTAAATTCTTTATGAGCTACATGAAATCTGCTCTTTTCAAACAACAGCTTCAGTAGAAAGTTAATGCCTCAAAATGCTAAATTACAGAGCTAATATAAACAGCCAAAAGCTTCCGGATGGAGCAAGCATCTGAACAGATATCTAAAGCTTTTATGCCCATTTTTAGGAGTCTTGTTTTTCATAGGTACCTAAATGACCTTGGGCTCATAGATCCACCTCAAAGCGTCCTCCCTGATGGGAGAACAGGGTCTGAACACATGGAAATGCCTTTACTTGTGGGAAAGAAACTGCTGTTGGCTGCAAATATAGCCCAGACTACTTCCTTATCATTTTTTTATGTAGGTGCTCTGCCAGAGGAATGTTAAAGATGCTTTAGCCTTGTCTCTCATTCCACAGGATGAGCATTCTGAGCATGAAATTTATTTTCATGAATTTTATGGCAAGACCTAAAGCTGTTACTAGGAGATCAAAGGTACAGGCACAAGCCATGAACCATTTACAGCTACAAAATGGAAGGCAAAAAAAAAGAGTAATTGGTAAATAAGGTTGATTTGTGAAACAACCATGAGGTAACTGAAATCTATTTTCTGTGTGCTTTTCATCAGAGCTCTTCTCTGGGCCAGGGGCTGCCAGCATCTCTGTGTCCTCTTGCAGTCCTGCATCTGAAGTAAGTGGGGACCCTGATTTGAACTTCTTGACCTGGAAACGTGTGTGAGTGTGCTCTTGTGTTACCACACCTCAGCATCAAGGGTGAAACCACATGCCTGAGGAATTGCACCTGGAGGCAAAGCACGTCTACACCTAAACAGGGGGGAAATAACCAGGAGGGCTGTGGGGCACCCAGCTCTATGGGGAATCAGAGCTATGTGAAGGGAAAACTGTAAACCCTAATCTAAACCAGACCTTCCCCAGACATGAGAACTTCATCTGCTTACATCTGTCTCTAGTAGAATACAAAAGCTTTTCTCATACTCTGCTTTGGTGCTTTTCCTAAACCTAAGGAAAACTGGGAAAAAGATGGAATATTTGGAATAGCTGATGTATTACCATTGACAAAACAGATCAGGAGGGTAAGGGGGATATTAGAGGGGACACGGAGTCTCATCTTCCAACTGCTGTACAACAGGGTTCTGACCTCCTGGGTATGACCCTGCCTGCCCACAAATGGTGGGCTCCCTTGCATGTTACTTGGAGCCTAAGGAAGCCTCCAAGGATGCTGAGGCTTTCTGAAGCTAAAAAACTTCTAAAGAGCTGATGCAAAACTGTTTTCATTGGTGTCTGTAGCATAGGCCACTTTATGTTTTCCCACAGCTCAGTCTGAAGGTGCCTTTGACAGCTCCCAAAAGGGAGATGGCTGGCTGGGTGCCCTCTCCCCCAAAGACACAGCTCCCCTCTTGCTTTGCTGAACACCCTCCCGGAGCAGGCCTGTTCCTGGCCTTGCTGGGGCA